TTGCATTGAGACCCAGTTGCCTTACGCCAACTTTGACTGCTTGTGATTGCTATTTTAACATTTGTTAGTTTTTTTTTGAATATGAACCTTTTTGTTCATTTTGTGAGTTGTTCTTTTCTTTTTTGATTTTTTTTTTTTTTTAAGTTCATATACGAATATATTTATTCAGTTTTAAAGACGACCATACTTTTACATTTCCTCTTTCCTTGAACAGGCGTACTTGGACAGTTATTCGATGTTGACGCTTGGAATTTTAACATTTTTTTTTTTGAAAAGGTCCTAAGGTCGACTGGATTTCCATTCAAAATTTTGATTAAATTTTTAAAACTTTTTAAGGTTTTCGTTAAAGATGTAGGATTTTTATTTGTACCCTTTAACCTGATCAGAATAAACAAATAAGACTGTGCGACAAAATTTAACGAAATGTTTGTTTAAGTTACTTTTTTGATTGTTTTCGGTTAAGATGCATAAATTATGCACAACAATATTTGTGCCACCTTCTAAGTGATAGGATTTCTTTTTTTATGATAAATTTTATGAAATTATTATTATGAAAATAATTAGCACAAAATATTATTTTTTCTTTTACTTCCAATAAACTATTATTTTTTTTAAAAGTAAATTTGCAAAAACACGCGTTTTTGGGACATTTGAGTGTGCGTAGAAGCTGATTGGCTATTGATATTAACAAATCCAAAAACTTATATTCTTATTTTGACTAGTAGAAGTGAAAAATAAGAAAAAATCAACTTAAACATTTTTTTGTCGCACAGTGTAATCAGCAACCACCGGTTAAAATAAAGAAAACTAATATAAAAAATGTGATTTTTTGTTTAAATTTGTTTGTGGAAATGTTTCTATCTTTGCTTAAACTAAATTCTTTTGCTGAGTCGAACATTGAGGATCATATGTTGCGTTACAATGTTGAACACTTTTATGGGTTCCTAAATTTTATTGAGTTCCATTTGTAATCGCCCCTTTTGTCTGAGAGATCAGTTTTCGATCTTGTTTACGACTTGAGTCCCGAAATCTGAGTCCCCCCAAAGGGTGGAAACGTGCCGATAGTGCGACATCGGCTCGATTTTCATGGTCCCTTTGAAGTCTGGTCTTTGTATTACGTAGAAGATGTGTAGTTGTTGCACGCAGTATATAAGTCGGAACGGGCCGGATCGGCCGACCATAGCTCTCATACGAGAGAATGAAATAAAAATTCTAACTCGTTGTTTTTGATCAGATCGAAATGATTTCTTCAAGATGGCGTTTTCTAACTACTACTGAATTTCGGATTAAATTTTGTCAAAATCGTATAACTCTATCATATAGCTGTCACAGGTAAGATCGAAATATCTATATAGAATTAACGGGAATAAAATGATAACAACGTTATTTTTCATCAGACAATCATGATTTTTGAAGTATAGAATTTCCTAACGACTCTTGAATAACGAATTGGATTTCATCAAAATCGGACGACTATGTGATATAGCTGCCATATAAACAATAGTCGAAAATATGAAAATTTAATAGAAAAATCGTTATAGCTTCGATGTTGTTTAGCCATTATGTATTTTGTTCGACATATTTAATGACTGCAAAGGTATATAAGCTTCGGCTTGCCGAAGCTAGCTTTCTTTTTTGTTTTGTTTATATTATGTAGACGAATATTTATTAATATAATATAAATTCTATTATATCAAAGTATTTGTACATCTGAAACACTTTTAGGAATCGATACTTATTAAAACATTCACTTTCAAGCCGATTAAACTGACTATGATTTTTGTGTTAAGTCTTCACTTTACTTTTGCCTGAAATTACTTTCCGTGTGACTTTTCAACCGTGTTGCTCTTTTATTACAAAGAAAAATCACCGCAGTACTTACATGATTGCTTTTGACGTCGCGCATTTAATTAGCAATTTAAATACACCTGTTTATTCAACTCAGTTTACCAATCCCATTGGTTTGGTAAAAACTTTAATAATGTAAAGTGTTTTCAGAGTTAAAGTATTTTTTAATTTAAACTTGAAGCCTTTGGACTTTTGCTTTTGTGTTTAAGCAACGTTGAGAAAATATAAATTCTTTTGGGTGTATATCGATCTGTGATTTCATGCCCATCGTTTTAAAAATTAGGAGACTGTACTATTCCTAATTGATTTTTGTTTTTATGGCCTCTTTCCAATTATTTGGATACCTCAAAGACCAATTTATAGCTGTTGAAGTAGTAACCACACTTGGCAAATGTAAACTTCATTGTCATGGCAACGTTCAGAAGTTTTTAGAAGGACAGGCCCTTTTCGGCGAACACGCCACTCACATATGACTCTATTGCGGTGGAGTTTCTCAGTTGAATCTCCCGCCTGCGGCAGCTTGCAGTTTCCAAATTAATGCTCCGAAACAGACGGACCATTTAACCCGACAACGAACTGTCGCCCCGTGGAGCCCTTCGCTGCCCTGATGAACCACAAAGCTGCGCTCATCGCTCGCAACTAACAACGTTGCCAATTCCTGACACCGCCTAAGCCCGAAACCGAGCTCACCGCAGTTAATTTGTTGTGCGAGCCCGCACACAAATAAAGCAGCCAACAAGCAGCTGGAGAAGGACTCGTTTGCTTTGAGCCAACATGCAACACTTTATCCACTGGATGACTGTTTTCAAATTTACAGCATGTCAACAGGCGAGGGCTCGTTCGAGCACCCAAAGTTTCTGGGTCCAGCTGGCCCAGTTATCCCACATCACATTAACCATATGGAGAAGCGGGGCCAGAGCAGTTGGCTTCTAAATTGTGCAAATACGTATTGCGTATACGTACTCTAGCGCAAATTCCTAATGGTGCCTCTTCCATTGTTTTCGCTGAGTTAAGCAAAACCCTATTGTGCTGCCACCGACGATGCTAAGCTTCACGTGCAGTTGACTCCCAAAAGAGAACCAGTCAACAGTACAGCCGTGCCCGAAGTCAATAGCTGAAGTTTGCTTTACTCGTGCATATTTTCGACTAACGATTAAGGCTTGGTGGTTAAGCATTGAGTATTTATAATAAGGGTCTATAAGGTATTTGCATTTGGTCTTAATCAGATCATAATCAGTCCGTAAATTAGCTCAGCTTTGCAACATTCAGTACTTTAATATGTGTTAGTACAACAATTATTGTGAAAAAAAGGAAATGGCGAGAAAAATGTGTTGTTTTTTAACAGCATACAGGCACGCAGTTCGCTAAGGCCGAAGATCCAACTCAAACATTTAACACTTAAAGCAAAAGATGTAAGATAACGTCTTACATTATTATATTATTTTATTAAACATCTTTGATTTAAACTTACTAACGGCTCGTACTTTTCCAAAATAGATAGCTAGTTTCATTAACGTTTTAGTCATTCAAAGAAGAGCTAAGCAACTTGCAACAACAATGTTGTCAAGAATAGAATGTTGCGTCCAGTTACTTTTAAGCCCTGCATGTTTAATCCATAATTTAGTCACACCTGAGAATATTCAAATTATTTGTACAAGGACGTTTTTGAAGGCAACATTTCCTACCCAGATCACGTATCTCCACAAACACCTTTATTATACAATGGACATCAAATCAGACCAGCAGAAGGGAATAGAAAAGAAGGATGTACATTTCCAATAGCAAGATTCTTTTCCAACTTATTCGCCGTAAGAGAAACACGTTTCGCATTGATGGTGAAACTCGGTCTCTTCAGTTGTGTTGGCCCTTTTTGCACAGTTGAGCTCACATTTTATGGTCAAGTTGCATTCTGTTTCATTTATATTTCATGTGTGGTTTTTATCTCCGCTCTCCATGGCCAAGACAATTTCACATTTTACTTTTCCTATTAATGTCAATTTAAATGTTCAAACACTTTAGTTGTTTCGGGGAACCGCCCAGGGGAATTCCCTGCCGTTGTCTGGCTGAGATATTGTTTGCACAAAAGCACTTAAAGACTGCATTACTCCTCTCAGATAATCGCTCGAAAAATAGTTGAATACCACAGTCCCTTTCCGCCGGAGTCCAGTTCCGTAGTCATTTGTGGCAATTTGCGTGCGCATTGTTAATTTGATTTTAGTTTACGATAAGCGAAAAACACCTCGACAGCTCCTGGGGCCTCAGTTTGCTCTCCCTCAATTCGTCCTGCCATTTGGACTGGGCGTGGCTGGGCGCATAATTGAACGATAAATTAAATGAAGGCGATGGCACGACCGAAACCAAATGCACTCAAACGTAAAAAACACGTTGCCATTTCGGGTTCCCGGGCAATTGAACTGTAAACGCGAACCCTTCCGTCTTGGCCAAAAGCACCTGCCAATTTCGAAATTTCTAGTGATGCAGTGGTCAACTAAGCTGTTGGCTGTTGGCAAGAGGAGCATGCCAAGGTAACAAAATATTTAAATGTTCTTCTACACCCCAGATACGCTTGGTTACGAATTGCATATATTAAAACTAAAGCTCTTGAGTTTTATTTAAATTGATTTATCTTTAAAAACGATATGAAGCAAAAAATAATATGGTAAAACATAACTGATAACTAATTAGGAAATTGTGATAAGTTTGGCTGCTGAGGATATTAAAACGTATTATGTCGGTTTATACTCCTCTTTGTTTTAATGCAAACCAGACAGTTTAAAAACTATATTCGAAAATATACATATTAATACCATATTTATCAGCTTTTATATTAATTAAAAAAATCTATATTATTATAACAAATTTTCTGTTCTGTACATATTTTTTAAGGATAATCTTTTAGTTGCTATTATCAATTTTCAGAAGGCAAAACAAATGCTGTGGAGGTGCTACCTATGTATTTGACTTATTTAAACAATTTGAACTTGTGATTCCTTGTAAATTAAAGTCACTTCCGCGGAGGAGTCGGGGTTTTGAATTACCAGACCCCTGTTTTATGGGCCTGTTCGAACTTTGATGTTTTTGTCGGCTTCGGGGTTCACGGTCTGGCGGTAATTTTCTTAAAAAGGAGAGTGGGGAGCGCATAGAAGGGCCGGTCCACAGAAAGGCAGCAAGCTGAGAGCTGGCCCTCACAAAAGGGCTCCAAATTGAATGTGAAGTACCGACGGCAAGCAGACGAGAAGCCGCCCGCAGTAAGGGTCGTTCCGGTGGAGAAGCGGAGTAGGTAGACCACCCAGAACAGCGATCACGCGCTCTGAAAATATTTCCCCAGATATGGAGATATGGAGAACTTCAGCCGGAGGTCGCCCTACAGCCAGATCGGGATTGGAGCAGCCGTTGGCTTCCTCTCCGGATTCGCGGTCCTGAAGGCCCGCAAGATTGTGGCCTTGACCGCGGGTGGGGCCATCCTGGGGACGCTGCTGGCCCTGGAGGCGGGGATCGTGCAGCTGGACCTGCTCAGGATTGGATCCCTGACGGAGCATGTTCGGTATCGGTGGCCGCACCGAATGGAAGCCAGGCTCCGCCGGGCCGAGGAACTCGGGGTGATGGCCAAAAAGGCGATTGTGACCAGCGGTCGAGTGGGCGTGGCGTTCCTGGCAGGCTTTCTGCTCGGCTTTGGCTTTGCTTAGCGAGCTCAAATTCGAACAGAAAGCCTGCACCTTTAATGCTCGGCGGCAACTATTCTGCCCCAGCCATCGGATGCCGGCGAGCAGGGAAAGTTTCCATAACAAAAGCCTTGAAAATTTCATAGAAATGCTCTTAACAAATAGCCGAGCCGGCTCTCACCGCACACACACACACACACGCACACGCACACGCACACTCGGAACACATTTAAAGTTTGTGCTCCCCATAAAAAGCGTCCCACAAAAACTTCAAACTTGTAACAACATTTTCATGCGCTTTTAAGCATTTCAATTTCCACCCCGCGCAGGGAAAATTTATGCATAAGCAAAGTTTTTCATAACCACGGCGATGTTTCGACAACGTGGCCGCCTCAAAGTGGGCGTGGTGTCGCATTTCATATGCATTGCGCGGCCTGGGGAGCATGTGATTAGCCAATAGGAGTCATTTGCAGAAAAAGAAATGCCAAATTGTTTATTGCATTAGCCTCAACAGGGGGAGAAACGAGAACGTCACGTTTAAACAACTATTTGACATGTGGCCGATATATTTTTGCCTTTTTCCGGTACACCCACATCCACATCCGCCCGAGGAGAAACAGTAACGACTGCGAAAAACAAATATGCCGCACTGGCCAGGATCTTCTCGAACAACGAAAATCAATTTAAATCGAAACCGAAATCGAACGCCCACTACGCATCACGTGCGACTACGGAACACATGTCGTTCGAGCAATGAAATTTGCATTTGGAAAAGCCAAAAACTGTTTTCTTCTCGGCCAGCCAGAACCCAATTTAAAGTGCGGCCAATGCGACTAGTTAAATGTGACACTTTAATTATTCAAGCCCGATCGCCCGATAATAGATAATCCCCGCCCAGGAAGGTACAGTCTGTAGTGGTCGGCAGAATTAATTGAAAGTGTGCGGGTGGGAGTGCCGAGAGATAAATGGAGTTGAAAGTTTGGCTTGTGATTAGCATGGGAATCAGCGGAGCTGTGAAAAAGCGGAAGTCGCAACGAACGAGTGATTGCGATGGGGACTGCGGGCGTTGGGGGATTCAATTAATTAAAGGTGATAATTGGGTGGCTAATTGGCAAAAAGATTTTCACTTCAATTAAACAAAACGAATTGCAAACAGACCAACGGCAGTTGTCGAGTATTCCACGTCTGCTTTTAACAGCCATTATGAAAATCGTTCTCCTCTCCGTGCAAATATTATTTATCGATAAAACTCATAGAAACGAGTCGATTCACTTGCAGCGTTGATTTTAAATACATGTGTTTAATTCGATTTTAGCAAAATGTGTGCTTGTGTACAATATATAATAGTTTAGCCAATTGGTGTGTTTTTAAAGAATCAAACAAAGGCCTCTTTCTTGTTGCAAGCTCTGTAAAGCATATAAATGAGTATTAATTCATGGGGCTCCGAAAAACATTTACTTAACCATAACCACATTATGTGTAAGCTCTGATAATTCCGCATTTAAGCTCGAACATACAAAACACAAAATCAAATTTCAATAGTCCAAACACAAATGGCCTGTAATTGTTTGCCGTCAAAGCGACCATTGCGAACCGAAGCGAAACCAAAGCCGGAGAGTCTGAGCCAAATGTATTTAATTGTGCCATATGTCTAGCAATTTGACCAAACTGAATTTGCACAAAACCGCAAATAGCTAAATTGGAAAAGGCCGGAGGGGTGGTGGTAATATTAAATTTGAAATTAAATTCATTTCCCAGCCACTGTTGGCGCAAAAACCGGTGTTCTCGTAAGTGTGGGATTGCATTGGGCGGACCATTTAGGTTCACATATCCACAGATCTGCCTGCCAATAACTCGATTAAAACTTAAACAGTTCAAAGTTTGCAATGCGAGAAAGAGCGTCCGGAGTCCTCCGGTGGAAACTCCGACTTCAAAGCCCCTGCACCGGCTTCTCATTAAATTTTCATGCTTGCCTGCAGTCCAAGGTAAAATACGAGCAGCGGCACTGCAGTTTCAATCGCCTCGCACAATGCTGCTCCACGATTTCCCTTGCACTGTTTTCCTTCTTTCCGACTCTCAGCCTCTTCATTTGCTGCAGCCGCCTTTGTTGTAGACATGAAAGCGGAAAAACGCGCCGAAGTGGGAGGGGCAGGGAGGCATTCTATCTTCGGGGCTGACCTGTGTCGAGCCGAGGTGAAAAGCGGAGAAAAATTATAGTGGAAACGCCCGGGCTAAAACACCAAACGAGGCCAGACAAGGCTGAATATTATAACAGCGAATTGATACTTGCAGCCTTCTCTCTTCTCCGCTCTTCCGAGGCATCAAATAACTGAGTTTTCCGCTTATCAAATTACCGACATTTTCCCAACGAAACTCAAACTAATTTCACAAGACAGAAAAACCGCTCTGAGGTCAAGCATCAGCAATTAAAGTTTTCCTGTGCAATCGAGCCAACCGCATTTTGTGCACGCACGACATTTGCAAAGCAGCCACGGCTCACCTCGCAATTAAAACCGGAAGAAATCACAGCTCGTGAAAATTGATTGTTAAGATCGAGCTGGCTGGCTGGCTAAGCCACAGCAAGCAATCGGGTGGGAAAACTAAACTGGGCAAAACAGTTTCTATGGCAGCGGGCCATAAATGTTATTGTGAATCGCCCGTTGGCTGTGCGTTTGGGCGAACGAATTTAATTATGTTTCTAAAACCATAGGCAGCGCAAATGTTTTCCGATTTCCTATTTTGGCCACTAGTGAAGGCCTTTAAAGGCCTTTAAACCCACTTGCCACGCAAACCGAGTGGCGGATGTAATTTCCAGCTCAAGTTGAACGGGCCAAGTCCAAGTCGAAAGGACCTTCAATAAACTCGGAAAGCAAGGCAGGGATTGGAAGGGATTGACTGCTATCCGACTCCCAGATCGACGCGGCTGTCTGGCCGGCGTTACGTGCAAATAGCCACGTGAAATTATTTCCGGAATCGGTAACCAATATAACTCCGTCGGAGTTTCCCGGCGGACTCGCCCGAAGTTCGCCGCCAGCTTGTCTTCAAAGTCAAACAGCAAAGTTGAGCTGATTAAAGCCTCCTTAAAGTTTCGACGCGCGGGAATTCGCGTTCTCCAATCGCTGCAAACTAGCTCAAGCGGCGTTCATTTCCAGTGCAGCCGGCTCAAACTGTCGCCATAAATGTTAATTAAATTAAAGCGCTAATAGGCGTGAAATATGATAACACACAGTTACGGAAACATGCAGACACCAGGCGCTCCCCGGAGAAGGCTTCCCCGGCGGGTGGCTGGTTGCAGGTGCGAGGTGGCAAGTGGCATGCGGCAAGTCGGGGAAAAGGAAGCAGGTCCTGTGGCAGCTGCCGCAAAGGCGCAAAGCCTCCTGCCGCCTCCGCCGCCCGGGGGCGTGGCAATTGCCAAAGTTGCCGCTCACTTGATTTCCAGAATAATACTCGCAATAATTAAAATGAAAATTAGAAGCGGCCGAAGGCAGTCGAAGCATCTGCCAAGGCGAAGGCAAACAGACAGATGGAGAGATATAGATAGAAGGGGGTCGAATGGGGCACGGGGCATCGGGGTTTCGGGGGCCCAGTCACCACTTGGCTGCCTCCTTGGGCTCGAAAAATGTGCCTTTTGGTGGCGCCTAATTAAAAGGGATAAGTGCCGGGGCAGGTGTGAATCTGCAGAGGAGTGGCAGAGTGGGCGGGCGGGCGTAATTACTAATTGCTGTGATTATAAAGGTCGGATGCGCAGGCAGCAGTCGGGTGGATAGCTCCGCAGCTCGCAGCCAGAACGATAGCCCACCAGCTTTGTCGTTCCATAAAAATATTTTTTGAGTACCAACGAAGATTGTAGGTCTTTCAGTTTTTAATGCAGAATGAAAGTAAGTCAGAAGGTTCCTTGGTATATTTATGCAAGACATTACTTTACATGTTAAATAATTTGTTTTTCATATAACTAATTAACAATAAAATGCTATTACTTTTCCGTAACTCTCTCCTTTTCTTAAAAGCTCCCTCGAACCCCCTTCCAATATTTAAGCGATATAGTTTCGCTTTCAGATGCGGTATTTACTTCCCACAGCCAAGGTTTCGATCGGTTGCTCGAGGGCTTGCCAACTCCGACCCGACGGCCTCAATCACTATCCGCAAATAGACCCGTAAGCCCGGGGACTTACCATGGTAGTAAGCTAACCATCAAAGCTGCCCGTGCCCCCTGACCCCCCGCCATTAGCTGGTTAAGTGCTATTGACAGTCGGAACCGCAGGACAGGTGGCAAAGGGTGGGAGGGCCAAAGCCGCTTGCCTTGAAGGACGTTTCACGCCCATTTCTCCAGGGCTCTCTAATTTGAGTGTCGCTGTCAAGGTTCACGCGTGCTTTGTCACAGATTTGTTGTCGGCCGAACCGCCGCCATTAAGATGATGAAATGCCCCCGAAGGTCACCAGGCAACAGGCGCCCGCCGTTCACTTGTTGCCTATTAACCAATATTAATATTTCACTGTGCGGCCTTGTCCTTTGTGCGTAACTTGTTTTTGAGCGAGTTCGGACCTCCCACAGGGGATTTTCCCTTCGGCCTGGATCTGGGCCCGCTTGATAATGCTTAATTTGCTGTTTAATTATGCGTAGAGCATTCTTTGTGGGCGGCCCAATGTCCCTTCTAATTACAGCTGTTTGTTATCTGGCAGGGAACACTTTTCTGGGCTGTTTAAAGCGGCTTAGCAGAAGGCATCCTTCTCAGGTTCACACGTTATTTGCCACTTCTTTCCCGTTTCACACACACACTGCAGAATGACAATTTGCCACAGGCAACAACTTAATTTGGGCCACATTCCACTCTCCTCCAGTTGGCAGGGGGATACAAATGGACGGGCTGCGTGTAAGCGAAACTGCCCTGACATCCAAACACGTTCGAAGAACATAAACAGCTTGGTCCCATTTGTATTTCCCTTCTGCCTCTCATTTTCTCTGCTGAATTTAGTGAGCTGGCCTCATAAATTTTAAATATACTTGGCCGGAACGTGGTCCATTTTCAAGTGCCACGACTACGAGATACCTTGTCCTGTTCCAAATCAGGCTGCGCACCTGAATTGGGAACTCTCGTTCCCCCTACCAACAAACACGAAATCCAAGAATTAAAAGGAACGGAGATGGGCATTTTTTGGTTGTCTAGCTAATCAATTTGTTCCTCATAGTGCAGTCAGAAAATACCCCTTTACTTTTAGGATAATCGATTTAAAAGTGTTTAAGAGTAGTAAATGTAAATACTACTACCGAACAAATATTCGATTAATATATGTATTATGGTGGTATTTGAGGAAATTCAAATCATGTTTCAACTGCTACCTCATTTTAAGCACTCAACAAGGCCAAAAGGATTGCATAGGTCTTATGCGAAAATAAATCGTTAAAAATATACGTTGCTTGTTAATCGTTTCAATACTGATCCGGTTTGTTGAGTCCTCAATAAAGTAAGATATGTTGAGTCTATACAAAAATAAATGTATTTTCGCCTTATGTACCTTGATTTTTTCCTAGCTTCCAAGGGATTTTTTTATATCAATGTGATTCTTAATAAGTGCCGAACCACGTTTAAACGTTTTCAAATTCAATTTGAAACTAATGTGTAAGCCTTTTGGTTGCGTAAGAGGGTCCATACTTTATTCTCTTTTTAAATCGTTTTTAATATACAACAAGGAGTGTAGTCGCTTTGGCTGTGATTCGTAGCAAGCTCAATTCCTTTACTAATTATTTTCAGAGCACTTAAGTTTCTAGGTTATTTGCTTTGTAATTTGACAACTTCCATATTCTATAGATTGTCTGGCAATATGTTACGAGTCTGTTTATTTTCCATTAAACTCGCTACTGAAAATGCCGCATCATTTGCACAATGCGGCCGCAGAAGTTATTTAGTCAGACATAAATCTCGGCAGTCTATAGAAAATATTCTGCGCGCATAATAGGGATGTTCCGAGCCGGCGCTTAAAAGCCGTTTAATAAGTCTGGCCACAAAACACCCATGACAAATGTACACAACTGCATTGTACACAACCGAAAGAAGTAAGGAGCAGAGGAGCTAGTGGAAGTATCCGATGGAGTTGGTCTGGATGTTGCAGGTCGATTGCGGCCGCTGCACTGGCCATAAATTTTATTGGCCGCCCATTGAAACGTTGACATGGCACAGATATTTTGTCGCATAATTTTTGATAAAGTGCTGCAGCCGTCCCTAGAAGAATATAAATAAACAGGAGTTGCAAAACAAGATATGTTAATAAAATGCATACAGGAATATAGAGATTTTAATCGCATTTCCAGATTCATGCCCTCGCCAACTACTTTTATTGGGATCCTTCTAACCCAGTGGTACCAAACTTGTTTTGTCTACTGCCCACTTTGAGAATAAATATTTTTTTAGCGCCCCCCTTTTTTCACCTATTTAAAAACCACTATAGTAGTACACTTATTTGATTTTTAACATTTTCCTTATCACTAAGCCTCGCAAAACTTCCAATCCCCCAGTATGCACTTTTAAAGGAAATCTATGTGCAATCGTTTAATTGAGAGGCTTATCTCCGGCTCAGGACTCCATTATAATATAGTATTTTAACTTTCGCCACAAGTCCATTGAGCGCATTAACCTTTCCATGTCTGCATGCTCAATGGAGTCGAGCCACAAGTTTATTTGCCCATTCAGCTCAATCACAGATCAAATAGCTGGAAAAAAGTGCTGCAGTGCAAATACCTGGCAAACAATTTGAACTGCTCTCAACCTTTAAACTGCAAACAACGAGGGGCAGATTGCCATCCAAGGAGGGAAGTGTTTTGGGCGAGGGGCAGAGTCAGACAATTGCCCCGAGGAGACGGCAGGCAGCATAAATTGCTCCGACACGAAAGAAGTTGGATTGCCGGGCACGGGATAAGCAGCCTTCTCAACTTGGCTCTGCTCAACTGTTCAACTGCTCAACTGCTCCTGCGTCCCTTTGTTTTTCCTGCAAACAATTTGGCGAATCCGGGCCAGAGATTGAACAAAAGAATTGCATATGTAAAACTTTGCAAGCACTTCCCTTAGAAGGACTACCTGCGGCATCGCAGTGATTTCTTTGGCTAGAAGACAGCTCATATATGGCAACATGCACAAAAACCAAAGTATACTAACTTAAACACTCGATTTTAAAATTGAACTTATATAACAGATCCTGTGGCTATGGAATAGTCAATTGAAATTTTTATATTCTGCAAAAGAAAAAGAGGAAATAAAAAAGTTTTGAAAATTAGATGATAACCTCATTGTTTTTTTTTATAGCATAACCATAATTTTTTAAATATAAAATATTTTAACTAGCTTTAATTTAAAAATACAATTTTGAAAAAATTGGACACTATATCATATAACTGCCACTGCACTATGGTCCAAAAGTCGGATTTTTTTGGCATAAAGTCGAAATTTTTATGTTAATGTTTTGTATTTTTGGTTTTAAATTCTTAAAGTTAATACATCATACTTCTAAAAACTTAAATAATAAATCTTTAAAAGCTTCACTGAAGCTTTGTATGAGCTTTCAAAATCATGCAATCGATCAGCTGTTTAGAATTAGGTAATTGGCGGCAAATTCTTTTGTTTACGTTTGTGGGTGCAATTAAAAATTATCTGTCTAAACAAAATCAGGTTAATAATGGAAATTGAAGATCAAGGTGTGTAGTATTCACTGTATATTGTACATTTATGTTTAGTTTTACTATTTGAGCTGTGTTTAATGTCCAATTTATGTGTATTTTTGTAGAAAATTAACATGCGACCCCTGTGTTTCGTGGTTAAAAAAACGACCCCATGTCTGCCGACAAAAACTAACAACGTCAGTTTGTTCACATAAATGTCCTTTTTCAACGCTAATTAACACATTTTCCCCGTTCGTCCCCCTTTTCTTACAAATCCACAATATTCAGGGACGTTCGAGTTTATCCATAGCGATCTTTTCGAAATTTGGCGCAGCAACAATCGCAAACTACCAATTGTGTCTGATTGGATTTACGAAAAACTGAGCAAATACCACATAGAATATAGGAAAAGATTAGATATAAATAAAAAATAAGTCATTTTGAATGCTTTATAAAAGAAAAACCCTTTTAAATAAGCTCCACGTTATATTAGTAGCAATTTCCTGTAATCACTATATAAACTCTGAAAAGTTTCGAATTTTTTGTAAGAAAACGTTTGACTTATATATGCATAAATACCCGTGGTACCCAATGTCACCAACGATTCACAAGGATTAGTCCACGGTTTTCAAATAAATAATTCAACGTTGGTTCCACTAGGGTGCTTAGGCGAAAATGCTTCAGAGGCACGGAATAAAATCTACAAAAAAGACAGACTCTCACACGCAAGGAAAAATAGTCGAATCAATACTATGACTGACCTTTTCCACAGGGCGATAGATTCTTCGGATCCTTTACTATCTAGCATTTGCTTAAAGGAAAGAGAAAGGAAAAACATAAAAAACCTCTTCCTAAAGAAGTATTAAGTCTTCTGGAGTTGCCGTCTGCCGAAAACAAAAACCCAAATGAAAAAGAATTGGATGTGCAATCTGATTCTGATTCTGATGAGGACCTAAACGAAGGATGCCCTATAGAACTAGAAGAAGAAGAAGAAGACTATGTTTAAAACAAAAACCAATTTATTTATTAAAATTTATTACACATACATAAATGTAAGTAACTGAATCTGAATCTTAATTTTTAAAAATAATACTAGGAATTATTTAGTATGGGAGGCAAAAGAAGGCGTGGTCGCACAGACTCAAAATTTATTTTGCTTACTCTTCTTAAAAAGAAAAAATAGTGTGCAAAATTTGAGGTCTGTAAGTCAATTTTCAGAGTTTATGCCAAAAAAATCGACTTTTGGACCATAGTGGCACTGGATCGAATATTCTGTAACGAAATAATGGAAATAAAATATAACATCGTTGATTTTATACCCTTGCAGAGCAAAAGGGTATTATAATTTCAGTCAGAAGTGTGCAACGAAGTGAAGGAGACACCTCAGAAGTATATATATTCTTAATCAGCATCACCATCTGTATCCGTCTGTCCGTCTGTCCGTCTGTCCGTCTGTTCGACTGTCCGTTTCTCTTCAAACTAGTCTCTCAGTTTTTAAGCTATCTTGCTCAAACTTTCCCAAAGGAAAAAAGGGAATGAAATAAAAAATTTTCACGCTGTTGTTTTTGATCAGATCGACTTGATTTCTTCCAGATAGCGTTTTCTAACTTCTATTGAATTTCTGATTAAATTGTATCAAAATCGGATAACTCTAGCATATAGCTGCCATAGAAATTGAAAAACACAAATGTATATAAATATTGAAAAAAAAATTATAAAGTCGTTGTTTTAAATCCCACGAGCATGAATTTTAAAATACACAGCTTTTTAATAACCCTTGAATCGAGAAACAAATTTCATTTTAATCCGATAACGTTATCATATAGCTGCCATAGAAAAGGTCAAAAAATCTATATAGAAATATCGGAAATAAAATTATAATATCATTGTTTTTCATTAGACAAGCACCATTTTAGGAAAACAGAGTTTTCTAACGACTCGTAAATTACGAATTAAATTTAATCAAAATCGGACAACTATATCATATAGCTGTCATATGAACAATAGTCGAAAATATGGAAAATGAATAGAAAAAAAGTCATAGCTTCGATTTTGTTAAGTCTTTATGCATTTTGCTTGACATGTGGTTACTTTTCCTATTTTTAGTAAAGAATTAAAATATAAAAAATAAAAATTTTATAAAATCAAACGCATTTAGCATGTGTTTTCTAAAGCTCATATGGTTCTAAAAAATACCAATTAAATGTTGTAGAAATAAGATGATCATTACAACTAGCTGGCATAGGGAAAAACGAGTTCAGCGCCTATTTATCATGAACATACAAATAACCATAAGTTTTTGGTTTGTTTTGGTTCAAAAGAATTTGTAAACAAATCTCAAGGCTGATTTGACGTAACTGGACCTCAAGAAACCAACCGAACCAAAGTCACGCCCGTCAATTCAACAGTTTCGAAGCCGCAAGCTCACATAAATATTTTCGCTCAGCTCAGCATAAAATATCAAAAGCTTTCTAGAAACTGCAAAACCAAAGTTCTGAAAGCTCAGTTCCCTGGGGCTCTTTAAAAAGTGATCTTCAACTTCAGTTCAGTGAGAATCGGATTGTTACGGATCGAGGTGGCTTAGTTTTTTTTTATTTTGTACAAAGTGATGTTCTTAAAAAAATACAGAAAATTGTTTACTTTATGTGTAAAAAGGATACAGTCAAATATTTAAAAAACAACAAAAAAAAATTGTTGTTGAACACAGTAAAGACTAAAAAAAGTGAATTCTCTTTGGCAAGCCAAAAACAAATCATTTTATATTTTATACATATAATACGTAAAACTTATAGTGCGTAATATCCTGTTTAAAATTAAATTTATCATAAATAGCTAGCGAGCAGACCGCAAGTAAGTATGCAAGATGAGCCTTGTTAAAAAATTAATTATCAAAACGCATAGAAAAGATCGAAAAATATAGGTATATATAAATAATGAAAAAAATTATAATGTCGTTTTTTTGTTATTCCACGAGCATGATTCGAGAAAATCAGAAATCATCAATCGAGAAAAAAATTTCGTAAAAATCAGAAAATTATGTCATATAACATAGTTGCCATAGGAAAGATTGAATCTAAATAGAATTAACGGAAAAAAATGAAAACATCTTTTGTTTTTCATCAGAAACTCAAAATTTTTTAGATATATACGTACATAGTTTTCTAATGAATCTATGACAATTGAATTTCGAATTAAATTTCATCAAATCGGATTATTATATCATATAGCTGTCATATGAACAATAGTCGTAAATTTGGAAAATAATAAAATCGTCATAGCTTCGATATTGTTCAGCCTTAATGTATTTTGTTGACATATTTGACATATGTCGGCTTGCCGAATCTAGCTTCCTTTCTTGTTGTAAATTAAAATGTTGTTAGTGTGTTAATGCTTTAGTCGCTTTAAGGGTTCTAGTTCTTACCGTTTATTAACTGTCGAACATCAATCAATATGTTTATACCCTCATAGCATAAGAGAATAAAAAACGTACTAGGAAAAATATTATTAAAACAACTGTCAAAATGATTGACAGAGAGCATAGACATTCACAGACGGATACCTGCATAAATTACAAAATAAATAACATAAATTTCAGCTATTTACGTAGTTGTCGTTGCCTGGCACAACCAATACCTCCGAAGTTTATGCAGCGTTAGTCCGACAAGGTGTCGTCTTGACAGCCAGAAATTACAAACAGCTTGGTTTCAGCTCCTCTTCCCAGAATGCTACGGCGTTGCACGTCAGTAAACTTGTTGTTCACCTTTTCAATATGCTATACTTTATATACGTACAACTTAATATTTATTTCGCAAAAGTAGGTAAGCTTTCAAACAAAACAAAAGTTCCTAGATACTTAAAACCTAAATTACAATGGAGTGTTTTTTTTTTTTTTGGGGAAAAAACTTGGAATTAAAGTAAGTCGCTCAAGAAATTTCCATAATTTTTTAAAAATATAAGTCTTCTAGGCTTTTATTAAAGTTATTAAAGATTAAAAAAAAAAAAAAAAACTATTTAAATTGGAAAAGACTGAAATAATATGTTTTTTTTTTTTTTAAATATATTTTGAATTGAAGAAACATATTCGATTTCTGTATTGAAATCGGGCTGAAAATGGAAAAATAGTTGAGAAAATGTGACTCTCAGAATTTAATGTTTTTTTTTTTTTGGTTCATATAGCGATGAGCTTGCGAATTATTATTTGTTACTCTCGAACAAAGTGAAAAAGAGAGACATCAAATTTTGGCATTTCTACATCGTTATAATCGCTGTGTTTATAATTTTATACATACATATATACAAGCTGTTAGCTAGATTTGAATCTTACACTTTTATTTTTATTGTAAACTGCTTTTTAATGCTTAGAAATATTTGATGTAATAGTTGTTCATATTTTTTGTTGCTAGAAGTGCTTATATATATTACAATATATTTTTTTTCTTCTGGTTAAACAAAATTAACATGTCGCTTTGTTAATCATTTTCATTGACAGCAATGAGTTTGCTTAAAAGCTATTTCACGTATTCGTTTCTACACGAAATTTGACTAAAAACAGCTCACCGTGAGTGAAATAGTGGGGCACAGCTCTAATTTATTTGTTTGCTTATATTAAACATATTTTGACATGTAAGCAGAAAATGTGGGTTGTTCATAGATATTTAGAAATCTTTTAGTGTGTTAAATTATTATTTGTCCGCGAATGAGCTTTGGGTTGATTTCGCAAATCGGTCTTACTGTATTACGAAGTTAGGAAAAGGCCTTTAAGAATAACTAATAATCAAAAAAATGGGTTCAATTCAAATCTAAAAAAATGTTCTTGGAAATGATTTTACGCGTAACTAAGTAGGCGCAATTTCTGAAGTTTCATTTTACCCTTGCAGAGCAAAAGGGTATTATAATTTTAGTCAGAAGTTTGCAACGCAGTCAAGGAGATACCTCAGAACCCATAAAGTATAGGGGAGAGTGGGGATAGGTGTACCACTTTTTTTGTTGAACATTACTATGTCTGAACAATTCGACGTTAGGGTCTGCTGTTTATAGGAATTTAAAACAGCATTCATTCCTTTGCATTTAAAGAATTTTGTGAAAATAATATGTCACGTTTTTTTAACTTTATGAGCATTTTAAATTTTTGTCTCAAATGGTTCCCCACAACCCCCACAAACATAGTTGAACCACCTTTCAGGCTAATGGAATATTTTGAAATGCGTGAAATATACGGGAAAATAACATAATTTGCGTCTATTTAAGTTATTAAAAAATTTTCTAGAGTTCAATGCCACAGGTGGAGCACAATAAATTTTTCCCAAGAAAACGTCAGGTCGCATATAGCTGCGAAAGGCGAACAAAAACTTTGATTAGTGATAGAAATGACAGCAATTTGACGCGTACGTGTGATGTTGAGATACCGACTGGATAAACAACACATATGAAGATGGTGTACAAAATCCTGATAGAAGGTGAAATATTACTAGTGGTTCACCTATCCCCACTCTCCCCTATATATTTCTGATCAGCATTATGATCTGAATCCAAATTCGTCTGAACGTCTGTCCGTCTGTCCGTTTCTACGCAAACTCGTCTCTCAGGAACTTTCCCAAAAGTTGTGTAGTTGTTGCACGCAGTATATAAGTCGGAATATAAAGTTTCCTAACGACTCTTGAATAACGAATTAAACTTCATCAAAATCAGACGACTATATCATATAGCTGCCATATAAACAATAGTCGAAAATATGAAAAAGAATAGAAAAAACGTTATAGCTTTGATGCTGTTTAGCCTTTATGTATTTTGTTCGACTGCAAGGGTATATAAACTTCGGCTTGCCAAAGCTAGCTTCCCTTCTTGTTTTTGATTTGCTGCAAGACAAAAACCCTCTTTACTGACAAATGCGATGCCTAATGTAAATAACTTTAAGCTTCTATTATAAGCCACAAATGTGCGGTGAGCCTCCAGCTTGCCTCGTTTCATGTTTTTTAAAAAGCAAACTAGGGGAAGCTTAAATTAATTTGTGTGACAATATAGTAATCATACGCAGCGGGGATTACATTTGTCAGTGATCAGTGCAAAGGTATTTTCGCTGCATGCCACTCTCGTGCAATTAAGCGATGCCACTCGGCATTCCATTCCGCCAACTGTTGCCACGTGCCGCAAACAATAAATGTATCAAGCCCAAACAACGTGTAAATTACGCATATTAATTGAACGCTGCATGCTTTGCGGCTCTGTTTGTAATTTCATGATGATAAACAAACACGAAAAATGAGAAATTGTTTGTGCAACACCAGCACAAGGCTCGAAAATATATTTATTTTATTTAACCGTATTTAATTAGTTGCCACCAGAGGAGAAATGACCGACAGCGTTGACACAGTCGATTATGTTAATAAAGTCAAGATGGGCGGACCTCCAAGGGGGCGGGGATTCCGCGGGGGCCTGGTGGTAAGTAAAGGCGACTTGACGAGCCGCAACTCCACTTGCATTTAATTGTTCATTGATGTTTATCGTGGCGTGTAAATTTGCAAGCTCATTGGCTGGTCAGAACCCCCTCGCCGCCCCCTCTGGTCCCTTTGTATCCGCAAGCCCCTTTCATCTTTCACCTGTCAAGCGGCTTTACGACACTGATATGAATGGCATTCCCCCTTCGCCCCTTCCATTCAACGCGCTCGTTTGTATGCACTTCATTGGTTTAAGTGCATTTATTTAATTGCAGAACATTTGCGCTGGGTTTAATTCGCATTAATGGGACATGACATTTTAATTGGATTAATTGCGTTTATTAAGTGCACTGGCTCCTCTCAGCTGGGCGAAAGTGAAGAACTGATTAAGTTGCTCCTTTCAACCGGTCAGCAGCAATCATACGCGACCAAAGGCAAAAGGACATCGAATCGGTTGGCTCCAGAATAAGATATTGACTTTTAATTAAGGATTTTATAACATGAAGGTTAAAATTAAATGTAAAGTAAAAGCAGAGGCATTTATTTATGGCAAAAAAAGGTGGCAGAGGCAACAAAGCAGGTCGAAGGCTTGTAGATCACAATAAATTATATTGACTTGGGAACCGATAATGCAGAATACAAAAAACGAAAGTGTAAAAAATAATAGCAAATACAATGCAGTTAATGGAAAAATGAAAAATCCTTTTTTTCGAATTTCGAAATAATAAAAAATAAATATTTTTTGTTCTTAACATTTTAATATTTAATGTTTATTGAAAGATTGCACTTTTCTTGACAAGATCCCTTGTGTAGGAGCAGAGCAAAAATATTAATATAATTTAACAACTTTATATCATAGCCCTTAAAAGCCATTTTATAAATACTGAGTGAATTATATTAAAGTAAATGTAGTTTGCCCAAAAGTTTAGACGTTCTGTTAATTCGCATAGGTACAAGTTGCCCATTTTATTCCCCTGCTGGACCTAATTCAAATGAATGTTTCGGCCGCTTTTCGCTCTCAACAAAAGCACTCCAAAGGCCGTTTAGTTCATAAAATATAAATAAGCATAAATCACGCACACAAGCAAACAGGAACATGATTAACAAGGTCATTTAACGGCACTTGTTTTTCCACACGCCCAATATCTGTGGCCCGTGGCAAGTAGGCTTGTTCGAGCCCCGAACATTGGGCCGTCCAAAAGGCTTACCCACAGGCACCGAGCGGTTTTCCATACGGAAAATTCGATTAGTGGGCTAGGCATTGGACCCGCCCACCACCCCCCAAAGCAGGAAAAGCATGAGGGCATCGGAGAAGGCAGAAAGAGGTTTTCCGAATGCGTATTTCTTGATATATATTACTCTGGGGAGACATTTGATAATAACTTGCGGCCTGTGTGGACTATAATCAGCATAAGT